CCACGGTGCTCCCACGGGTGCCCCTGGGGCCTACCGCTCTCAGCGCAGCCCTCCCCCAGGACGCCGTCATGCTGCACAGCTTCACCCTGCGCCAGCAGCTGCAGACCACCCGCCAGGAGCTGTCCCACGCGCTGTACCAGCACGATGCCGCCTGCCGCGTCATCGCCCGGCTCACCAAGGAGGTCACTGCCGCCCGAGAAGGTACCATCCCCACCCCGCCCTGCACTGGGCTGCTCAGCCGCCCACCCTGCCCTTTCTCATGCTGTCGCTGTTCTTTCTCCAGCTCTGGCCACCCTGAAGCCGCAGGCTGGCCTCATTGTACCTCAAGCTGTGCCTAGCTCTCAGCCGAGTGTGGTGGTGAGTGTTCCCTCCACCCCTGGCAGCCGAGTGCTTGCTGTGGCCTACTTGGCCCTCCTCTGGGTTTGCAGTACAAGGTCTTTGCTCTGAGCTGTATCTCAGCCCATTAGAGTTTCACGTTTTGAAACAAGGCTTCAGTGGATGGTTGAGGTGCCTGGCCTGGGCTTGAACTTGGATTCGTATTGCCTCAGCCTCCCAGAGCACTGGGCCTACAGGCATGAGTCCCCTGCACTTGGCTCTGGCTTTTCTTCACCACGGTGTCTGGCGATTTGTCTCTCCAGTTTCTCCTTTGCTCTCTGCAGGGTGCAGGCGAGCCCATGGACCTGGGTGAGCTGGTGGGAATGACTCCCGAGATCATCCAGAAGGTGCGTCGTGTCGAGGGGCAGCGGCCTCACACGTGGGGCATCGTGTTCTGGTGCTGACCTTGCCGCGTGGTGCCGCTGTCACGTCCCCTGCTGCTGAGCCGCGGCCCGCACTCTTTCTCCAAGCTTGTGGCAGGTTCCCCCATTCTGAGAGAGCCCTGGGACGCGCTGTCCGTGCCACAGAAGAGGGGCTGAGGCTCAGCTCTGGAGGGGTGGGGCGGTGCTGTGCGTGCGCTGTGCCCCACTTCACAGTTGAGTCCCTCCAAGCTGCTGGGGCAGCGCCGTCACCACTGTGCCTGGGCGGGTGGCTCCTGAGGTGGTGCAGAAGTGAATGCCACGAGCACACAGCGTGGTGCCTCAGCGTGAGTCCTCTCTTCCAGCTGCAAGACAAGGCCACGGTGCTGACCACGGAGCGTAAGAAGGTGGGTCCCCTGTGGAGCCCAGCTGTGCAGGGCAGTGGGAGGGGTGGCTGAGTCGGGACTCACCGCCACTTTCTTGGGGGCTTTGCATTCCAGAGAGGCAAGACTGTGCCGGAGGAGCTGGTGAAGCCGGAGGAGCTCGGCAAGTACCGGCAGGTGGCATCACACGTGGTGAGTGCTGGCCTGTCACTGCCGGGGAAGCCGTGGGGTGCCGTCTGGGGCCTCTGGTGGAAGCCCTCTGCTCCCTGGGGCTGGTGATGAGTTCTGCCATGGCTCTCTGCACAGGGGCTGCACAGTGCCAGCATCCCTGGCATCCTCGCACTGGACCTCTGCCCCTCCGACACCAACAAGATCCTCACCGGTGAGGCGGGGCCCGGGGCAGAGCCTTCCCCAGTGCGGGCAGCTGAGTGGCCCCGCTCAGTTCCCTCTCCTTGGGTCTCCAGGTGGCGCGGATAAGAACGTGGTTGTCTTCGATAAGAGCTCTGAGCAAATCCTGGCCACCCTCAAAGGCCACACCAAGAAGGTCACCAGTGTGGTGTTTCACCCGTCCCAGGTGAGGAGCCCCAGCCAGGCCTGGTTCCCTGCCGCCCGCTGTCCTGGCTCGGTCCCGTGCTGGCAGGGCTGTCTGGAGTCAGGAGTGTCCCGTATGGGGTCTCCTCACAGCATGCTTCACGATGGGCAGAAGGAAATGTGGTGTGATAAAAACCTTTTTCTTGAAATATTTTACGTCGAGAGAAGCTCTTGGTATCATTCGTAACAAATCCCAGGCCGGTGCGGTGGCACATGCTTATAATTCCAGCACTCGGAAGGCTGATGCCGGAGAAGCACCGAGGTCAGTTTGGGCCATGTAGTGAGTTCAAGGCCGGCCTGGTCTATATGGTGAGACCGTGTCTCAAAAACACTGAAAACAGCAATGATGCAAACCAGAGAATGGGAACGGGGGCTGCCTGGGGAAGCGGCAGAGAGGAGAGGGCAGGGTGGGTCTAGTGAAAGCTTTGCCTGGTCACCGTGCTCGGACTGCGTCCACTGTCACAGCTGACTCCTTAGGGACGCTGTGGGCCCTGCCGGTCCCTGGTCTTCTGGAGAATACCCTGCCCTGGAGCCCAAGTGCGGGCTGAGGAGTGGCCTCGCAGCTCTGCGTGGCGCGCCCACCGAGGAAGTTGCTCAGCTGCAGTTCGCCCGTTCCCCACCAGGTGGCGGACGCGGACCCCCACCCCGCTCCTCCCTCCGCCTCTGACCTCCCCTCTGCCCTGGCAGGAGCTCGTGTTCTCCGCCTCCCCGGATGCCACCATCAGGATCTGGTCCGTCCCCAACACCTCCTGCGTGCAGGTGGTGCGGGCCCATGAGAGCGCTGTCACCGGCCTGAGCCTCCACGCCACAGGCGACTACCTCCTGAGCTCCTCGGATGACCAGGTTTGCAGGTGGGCGGCGGGTGGGCAGCATGAGCCTGGCCCGGGCCCGGCGCCTTCTCACTCCCAGTCCTCCTGCAGTACTGGGCCTTCTCCGACATCCAGACTGGGCGCGTGCTCACCAAGGTCACGGACGAGACCTCCGGCTGCTGTGAGTGCGGGCGAGGGCGAGGGCAGCCTCCGGGCGGGCCCGTGGGCGTGGGCGCTGAGGCCTCCCCTGCTTTCGCAGCACTCACTTGTGCACAGTTCCACCCGGACGGCCTCATTTTTGGGACAGGAACCATGGACTCGCAGATCAAGATCTGGGACTTGAAGGTAGGTGCGGGCCCTCGGGTCCCCCAGGGGCGGCTGTGTGGGGAGCAGCGCGGCTCCTCCGTGACCCCACCCGGTGTCCCACGCCGTCCCTGGCAGGAGCGCACCAATGTGGCCAACTTTCCGGGCCACTCGGGCCCCATCACCAGCATCGCCTTCTCCGAGAACGGCTACTACTTGGCCACGGCGGCCGACGACTCCTCCGTGAAGCTCTGGGACCTGCGCAAGCTGAAGAACTTCAAGACGCTGCAGCTGGACAACAACTTCGAGGTGGGCTCCTGCTTGTCTGTCCCCGGCGGCCAGCCCTGCTGCTGCACCTTGCGCTGACCTCTCCTGCACCCCGCCAGGTGAAGTCCCTGATCTTTGACCAGAGCGGCACTTACCTTGCCCTTGGGGGCACAGACGTGCAGATCTACATCTGCAAGCAGTGGACGGAGATCCTCCATTTCACAGGTAGTTGGAGCCGCGGGGTGGGTGGGGCTCCTCAGCTCCTCAGCTCCTCAGCTCCTCCCGAGGCTGGCAGCTGTCCTGCCGGTCCCTGGGGGTGTGCCTGTGTAGACAGTGGGGGCACAGCCCCTTTTTTGGGAGGAGGAGGAGGGTGCCCCGCCTCATGCTTCCTCTTCTCTCCGCAGAGCACAGTGGCCTGACCACGGGGGTGGCCTTTGGGCACCATGCCAAGTTCCTGGCATCCACGGGCATGGATCGGAGCCTCAAGTTCTACAGCCTGTAGCCACACCGCACCTGCGGGGGCCGGGCCACTGGGCAGCGGGTAGTTAGGGAGGGCGGGTGGCAGGGGGCACTGCGGGGACGCTCGTGTCATCTCTCTGGGGCGCCTGAGGGCCGTGCCATGGAGACCACATGGTCCACACGGCCCACACGGCCCAGGCCTCGGGGGCATGGGGAGGGGGGGTCCTGCAGGTTTTATAAGCAGCCATTTAGTTTCATTAAAAAAAAGAAAATGCACAGTTGCTTCTGAGTGTCAGGGCCACAGACTGGGTGCGGCTGCCCGGTCCCCAGCAGTCTGTCCTGGCTGGGTGGGCGCACTGGCCGGCAGGAAGTTGAGCCTGGGCTGTGTAGGAACTGTGGCCAGAGTCCAGAAGCAGAGGCCTTGCCGTGGTGGCTCCAAGTGTGGCCAGGGTCACCAGTGTCCTTCACGGGAGCCCTGGCCGTGGCGTTGGGCCCGGAGCCAACGGGACACTGGGCGAATGAGGCAGATGTGACCCTCGCTTGGACCAAAGTGCCACTGTGCTTGGCCCTCATTCCTTCAAACAGTCTCATGAAGTCCGTTGTCAGATGGCTTGAGCTTGTGCTCTTCCTGCTTTAGCTCCCCAGGGTGCTGGAATCACAGGTGCCTGACCCCCGCCCCAAGCCGTTTCTTTCAGAGGGATTTGTGCTGCTTCCTGTGGAGCCTGGGTCACTTCATTGCCCCGAGGCTGAATTTGGTCCTCACAAGGGCGGCGTGGGCTCTAGATGCCGGGGACCTCAGCCTCGGCTGCCCTGTGCACTCGAGCACGGAGCTTCCTGCCAGGCTTCCAGGGAAGTGCCCGGAATAGAAGCGGTTTTTGTTTCACTTCCCAGAGCGGGTGCTGGATGGTCCCATTTGCACACGCGGGCGCACACACACGTTAGTCCAACGGTGGTATGCATCCTGTCCTTTGACGTCGGCAGCCCCCGCGGGGGATGGCGGTTGGGGGAGGCACGGTCCCCCTCCTCCACGGGGGTGGAGGAGGCTGCAGGTGGGTGTGGGGTGCTCGGCCTGAGCCCGGACCGCCGCATGCTAGGCGGCGTCTGTGGGTCCGGGCTGGCGAGGTGTGGAGGGGGCACGTCTGTCCCCAGCTCCTGCCTGGGCTACACAGCAAGACCCTGTCTCAACCGACAAGGAACCGGTGGACCAGTGTTCACACTGGATGCTGTGAGCCCAGCCAGACGCACTGGAGCAGGCTATGGATGGGCGGTCCTGGGGGTGCTGGACACGCTGTGTCTATCCCTGCACCTAGCTGGGCCCCAGAATGGTCATGCCGTCACCTCACCCTGAGGGACGTCACCATCCACACCCAAGGCTCTGACCCACGTGCCATTGGCCCTGGCATCAAGCTGGGGTGTGGGTGGTTGTATGGAGGCAGAGAGTGGACTGGGGAACAGTGGACTTGGGTCAAATGATGTGGAGTGAGAGGTGGGGTCTGAGAATCCAAACGGGCTTCTCAGAGGAGGTGACTGTTGGCCAGGGTTTTGAACCACGGGTAGGAGTTCATACTCTTGGCCCTGAGTTTCCTGCTGCACCTCACTTCCTTTTAGACAGGTGTCCATAAAGGCTGGGGGGAGCTAGGGCAGAGGGAGGGACCCTGGCTGTCCCCTCTGTGGTGCAAGACAGTGCAGCAGAGATGCAGTGACACTGAACAGTCCCAGCCCAGAGACCCAGGCGTGTGTGCAAGACAGGAGAGGACCACACTGCTCTTCACCCTGGAGCTTGGGCACTGTGCCTGGGGATGCTGCCCTGTATCCCAGGTGGCTGTGTCCCTGTCCAGCTCTGGGGACTCAGGCCCAGTCCGGCCTGGCAGCCTGGGCCCCTGTGGCCATGATGGGGGGTCCAGGCCCGTCACCCTCCACAGATGGCGTGGCTGGACCAGCTGGCACCTGTCCTCCCGGCTACCCCGTGCTGTCCGGGTCAGTGTGCTCTGCCATCCCCCTGCAACTGCCCGGCCTGCACCCGCCCTCTGGACCCTGGCCCTCCGTCACCCAGGCTGTGGGGCTGCTGGGAGCAGGCTGGGTGACTCGGGGACATGGGGGAGACGGCGAGGCCAGTGCCCTTCCCTTCTCCAGAAAAATGCTTTGGGCCTGCTCACACGGAATCCTTTTTCTGGCTACTCTGATGACCCTAGTGAAGCTTAGCTGCTGTTTGTTTGCTTAGTTCTAAGTGTCCCTGGGGAGGGCTGGGAGAGAAGCGGATGCTGGTTACAGGGCAGGAAGGACTGAGGGCCAGAGAAAGCTTCCAGCTGGAGCTCCACAGGGCTGCCATGAGTGGGTGTGCAGGATGTCCACTGCACAGGGAATTCCAGGGAGGCACGCCGAGGGACTGAGGTCCTGAGGGACACATCTGGGAGGCAGGGGTCATTTTCGCCCCAGGGAGCAGTCTGTGTCCAGCCCCTGCTCTTCCGGGCTGTGAGTGGACAGCTGGAGGACCTTCAGGCCCTCAGTTCTTGGCTTCTCCACCTCACATCACTGGCTCCTCCTCTTGTCAGCGGAACCTCTTGGTGGGGTCAGGCACCCAGGGCTGCAAAGAGAACCCAGTCCCATCTGCTGGTCAAGTGCTCAGTCGCCTGGGGCCCTGGCGGTGCCTGCACAACTTGCTGGGTTCTCCCCGATTTCCCGAGCATCCACCAGGTGGGGCCTTGGGGTTCAGGGAGGGCCTAAAGGCCACAGGGCGCCAGAAAGGTGGGGCAGCCCAGGGCTTCGGTGGTGCCCTAGGCCTGTGCTCATTTTCTCCCCCTGGTGGGATGAAGTTGATTTTGCTTTTTCTTTAAAAACTTTTTTTTTTTTTTTTTTTTTTTTTTTTTTTTTTTT